TGGGTAGTTACACGGTGAGGAATCACAGGACTCCATTCTGTCCCCAGTAGAGGTAGTTCTCAACCTGCAATCCTAATGGAGTTCAGAATTTTGTCATATATCACGATGGTCCTAAGTTGAGGCACCCATATGACTAACCCAATTTTATGACATTTCTTAATGAACATATCAGTTGTTAAGCAAACTCATTGTCCACAATGGGTGTGTTGGGTTTTTTTTGCTAGAAATCAGAAAAAATGCTAATTTCCAGCAAAAAAAAATAAATCATAAACCAAAGTCACCAGATTATAGGACATTGCAAACGGCCATAAATGTGGGCCAGGTACCAAGCGCCCAAAATGCAATCAAGTGACCAGTGAGGGACAACAAGACACCAGAATTTTGAATTTGGATTAAGTACTTTTTTGGGGACCTTCATACCTTTGGTCCCTAAGCAGCTGATCTTAAGTCAAGGATTACCTGTACAATTTAACATTTGTTATGAAGTTATTCAGAGGGGCCACCAAGACTGTAGGAAACTGACATCAGTATTTGATAGTACCTGTACTCCTCCATATAATGAGAATTAGTAAAGGCTGTGTGGGTTCTGGACTAATAGTTTGTAAGTATTAACTAAATCCTGACAAGACAGAATTATTAAGGATAAGTAGTCCTCTCATCCAGGAGTCAGGGAGGTTATTTACAAATAATCCTGACCACAATTGAAACCAACAATTCTATGTTTTCCGATTTGACTGCAAGCTTCTCTATTGACTCTGCTTATTGAAAGCTGCCAGTGAAGAACACAATTGGTGGTTATGTGACTGTGGGGCAGTCATAAACATAAAATCATAAAATTACTTTTTCAGTTCCTTCATAACTTTGAACCATGTGGGGACCCCGGAAAAGGTCCTGGGAGACCCCAGTGGCCTAAGATCACCCTTTAAGAAACACTAGCTTAGGGGCAATGTGTGATTCCCAATCCCAGAGAAGAAAACACACACAGACACACAGATGCTCCTTCAAACACCGGGAGATGCACCTCCACACACCTTCAACATTACCTTTATCTTGGGCTTTAAATATGAGTAAGCACGTTGGATTCTCTTGCCTAGGAATAGACATGGGAGCAAATGCAGACCTGCCTGGGCCATCAAGGGCGGAGGGCAGTCAATTCTGCAAAAAAAGAAAACACACAACCTTCCCCCCCCCTCCAACCATTTCCGGGCTGCAAACTTCCGGACTATCCCTAGCTTTGCTGCCATCTAGCCGTCGTCCGGGCTTTTTGCAGCACTCCGAAACCTGGGCATCGTTCTAAAACAGTGTTTCTCAACCTTGACAATTTTAAGGCATGTGGACTTCAACTCCCAGAATTCCACAGCCAGCATGCTGTCTGTGGAATTCTGGGAGTTGAAGTCCACATGCCTTAAAATTGTCAAGGTTGAGAAACACTGTTCTAAAACGTGCTTACTCCACCTTGGGAGGAAGGTTTAGGAAAGCCTTACTCGCTTTCAGAACTGTCGCTCTCTTTTGCTCTGCAGCGACATAAACCGGTCACTTTAACTGCGGGCTTTGACAGACCGTTAACTTTAGCTCTTACAGCTTATTCAATTTCTACGCGGCCGATTACTCCCAAAATAAAATTGGTTCATTTTATTGAAACGCGCCCGCCTCAATTAAAAAAAAAACAAAACCAGGCCCGACTCGTCTTTTGAGGAAAGCGCAGCGGAATGCATCGTGAAGCACCTGCATATGGCTCAGCTGTTTTAATCCGCCCTTTGTTGCTCCTCCTTTGCTCTCCGGCTGCCCGTCAACTTAGCCTTACACCAGTCCTTGAAAGGAGAAAGAATGGCGTCCCTTTCCTGCGCCGGGTTTCTCCGACTTAATAATGCCCTATCCTCCACCTACAGTCCTTCCTAAACCTTCAGAAAGCAGAAACATTTAACTACTGCCCTCTCGTGTCCACAACGCAGCCAACCACTCACCGACTCCTCGTTGCCATTAATGATTTCGCAACCGCAGCCGCCCGCACTTAACCTCCTTGTAAATATCGCAAAAGTATTTACATTTTGACTCGCCCCCCCCCCCAACCTATCATCCCGACTTCCATCGCACAAACCTATTTTCCAGGTGTTACAAGTCCACAAAAGAGTCATGGGCTGAAATTAAACGTCATTGACACATTAAAAAAAAAAAAGCATGGACTTTGCAAGCTTGTTCGCTGTTTGAACAGAATCCCTAAAGAGAAAAATGGAACGAGCAAGTAGAAACTGAAAAGCTAATCGGGATGAGTTGGGCAAGTAGATCATATCTTATACGATTTGTACAATGACGCGGAATTCTGCAAACTTGATAGCTTGGGTTGTTAAGCCCATTCCTAAGGAATATCACAATGCAAAAGTTGATTCCTGGCAAGACGCCACCATCTGAACCCCACTGATGTATGCATATAAAATTAGGTTGGTGTTTTCTTGTTTTAATTCTAGCATGCCTCACTTTGCTTGCAAGCTTGCTTGCACTGAACTATTTTTCCACTTTTCCTCAGAATCAAGTTAATCTGTATCCACAAGTCTTCAATGTGGCAAATTCGTACAAAAATCACATTCCCTGCTATGGGAAGGTCATTTTAAATTCTTTTCCAACTCCTACTTTCATAGCCATAAAAAAGAAATTGTCCTGATTTTTTTAAAAAAATATTTTTAAAAAAGTTTTAATTAGCCCAGTGTCAAATTAAGGAATCCTGGCACTATAGCCTTTTATCCAATTTCTTGTGTGAATTCAGTGACTTCAACATTTCCTATTCTAGTGATCTCCAGATGTTTTGAGACAATCCCTTCCAAATTCCCAAACTTTTACAGCAGCACTGTGAACTTTTAACTGCCAGCAAGTCTGTAACTGTTACCCAGGTGATTAGAATAAATTTTCAAAAATCCTTCTAATCACATGATGCTCAGTTTAGAAGCTGCAAGTACTGGAGCTGTGCCGGAGTAATGGTTGGACATCAGCATTTGAGATAATTTAATAGGTGGAGGATTTAGGTTTTCTCTGGAGGATTGCAGTTATATTTCTTTATTTGCTTGCCAATCTGCTAATTCTGTAATGTCAAAGGCTGAAACATGAGACTCATTTGTCAACCTGGCTTGGCTTGTTTTAAATCTCCATTGTATTTTCTCTTGCATGCTGGATGTTATTTTTTGAGAGATGACAGGAGTATGAAGCAGAACTTTAAATGTGTTTTTAACTTGCACTGAAACTATACCAAAGTCTCTTCCCACCCTGGTGTCCTCCAATTGAGAGGATAGAGGGAACCAAGTACCATAATGACCATCTTCCCCCGGATATCAAGGTCACTGACAAAAGGACCGCTAATTCTCATCTTGTGGAAATGCACTAGGGAACAGAGCTTGTTCCATCGTGGACATCAACAAAGAAATGGCAGATGGCCCCATCAGATTTTCCTCTCTGGATCTCTCTCTGACATCCACACACTCCCAATTGTACCCCAATTTTATTCAAGGAGAGCACAAATTTAATGCTACAGTGAAGTCAAGGAGTCAAAATCACTATTGCAGGGAGCAAATCTTTTCAGACAATGCCATAATAAACTTTTGCAGTGGAGGACTGGCAGGTGTGCCAAGTGAGGCCAAAGTTCCAATTGGAAGTAAAAGCAGGATGCCCGTCTTCAATTGTTCCTTCCATACTATGTGCAGAGATATTCTACTAGCAACAGGAAATACATGGTATTAAAAGGGCCCAGGAAAGAGCTTTCCAAACTAAGATTGCACCAACATTCTCCCCTCAGCTCTTCCAATTTGCACTGCTGACTGCAGGGTAGGAAAAATTATCTTTGTAAGATAATTATCAGAGTTGGATCCACCTTATACCAGTTTTCCTTATCAGATCTATAAGCATAGCAGTGTTTATTGTTCCTGGAAATCTCTTTTCATAATCAAAAGGCGCCTGAAAAATCTTTTTAGGACCGTAAGCCTTTTAGCAACTCTTTGGATTAGGCCAGGGCCAGCCATTTCCCTTTTTTAATCTCCTTCTGAAGCTTTTCTCACCGTTACGAATCTTGATGACGTTTTGTTTGTTCCCCAACTTGTTTTGATGGAGTAACTCTCTGCTTCATCTCCATCCATTGCTGGAAGCTCTGAAGAACTGTAGATAGGGACAAGCAAGTCCACCCTGTAGCTCCCCCACCCACCCTCATCCCAGTTTTTTTGCTAATCTCTTTGAATCCTTGGAAACCAGAATCCTCACCCCCGGATCAGATCAGAGCATAGGCCTGTGGCCTATCAGGGTTATCCAGTGAACTGGGCTTGGGCCCCAAGATGATCGCTGGAATGCTTAATTAACCCAGGGTAAAGATTCCAACAGAACTGATGCTGAGTCAAGTCCCTCTTCCTTTTGATCCTCTTCCTTTATGCTGTTATGGTAAAGGGCGGACACTTTTGAATGAACCTTTATTATCAAAGTATAACATGTATACAGTAAGATTGGCTGAGCCTCCCTCCATGCCCCCCCCAACTCACAGTGACTACAAACCCCCAACTTATTACACCCTATGAGCTAATTGTACAGCACGCCGGCCTCACGAGTCTGTCATGCATGAAATTATTATGTCCCATTCAAGAGCCTGACATCCCATGGATAAAAGCTGTTCTTCAGCCTGTTGGTACAGCTGGATATGTTTCTGTATCTCCTACCCGATGGTAGGAGAGTAAAGAGGTACCAACCAGGGTGTGAGTCATTGGTACCTCTTGACAATGCAAGAAAAAGGAGCAAAGTGGGAGAACAGCACTTCCAGCAGCAACCCCCCCAGTTCCCACGAAAGGAAATTACGCATCAGGGTACAGCTCATTTTACCTCTTCTCTTTTTCCACTCCCCAAATCAATAAACACCCTTTCTATGAACTTTCCAAGACAAAGTTCAGATACTCCTTTGGATATTTTGTTCCTAGGGATTATCATTTTCTGGTTTGATGTCAGACAAAAAAAAAGTGCTTTAGTGAAACCATTAATAACAATGCAAAACAGAATATTTTATTAGAGCTTTAAGTGAAGCATTTTCCACAAGTGCTATGTGAACCATTGGAAGAGTTTTGTTTAAAAAGACAGATGCACCTAAAATTACCAGAATGTTGTATGGTATTTTGCGTACTTTTTTTACATACTATTCAACAGTTCTGCTACCATGCATCTTCTTCCCAGAGCTCGAACACACTTGAAAGACATGGAACTCAAAAACGCACCTGGAATAATTTAAAAATGCGTTAAACACCCATATATTACTCAACAGAAAAGACTTCATTTAAAAAAAAAAAAAGCCAAGCTAAGACTTGAACCCATACTTTCCATTGGGTGAAATTTTACTGAGCAGGATGATCTCACTGGAGGAAAAGAGAAAAATTGTGATTTGTTCTCCTTCTTGAAAATCTGCTCCTGAAAACTGGGAGACTCTCCCCACGGGGCAAGTACTAGTCTAGGGGCCAGAACTGCCTCCTCCTTCCTAAGTATCCTCTAGCTTACAGTTCCTTTTATTCAAGGAAGAAGTCCTTCTATTCGTTGGAAGGCCAGCTGGTCTTTAAGGCCAGTTGAATCCAATGGTCTTTAAGTGCTATTATGCTTTACTCTGTTTCATATAGAACAAAATCCTAAGCAAGATGGGCCGTTTTTATGTTTCATGGTGTACACCACCGACCTATTGAGATGGGCAGCCACAGAAATCAAAGAAATTTAAAAAAATACATGATAGTAACAGCTGAGTTGTAGATCAAAAGAAGCACATAACTACATACAAAGAGTTCATTTTTCTCCCTGGACCCCCATGATATTGGAAGTCAATATTCTCTAATGTAATTTAAGTGCAGTGGTTACTTGAGTCCAGGCCATCAGTTAGTATACAATACAGCATTTAAGCTCTACCAACGTAAGCAGAGCACTTACACTTACTGAAGGCCTGGCCACCATAATTGGGATTTTAAAAGGCACATTTAAAGGCTAGAAAAATCTGTGGATGCCCTGTTAAATGAAAGAAGAATTACTATTTCAGCCTGTACTACTACATTTTGTCTACTTCAGTGCTAGAAAATAAGGTTTTTCCAGAATAAAAAGATTCACAAAAAGGATACAACAAGAAAGGATACACTTTTCATGACACAGTATTATTGCAGTATTTACGCAGGAATGTTTCTAAAGAAGAACAGCAGAATGTGGTTTAATCCTTTTATTCTCTGTTGTTGTTTTTTCATTTAGACTGCCAATTTTGAAATAGTGATCATTATTTAAAAATTTGTAACCAAATATAACCTAAAGAAATGGGCACAATATCTGAAATCTACAACAATATTTTACGCTATTTTACGCTACTTGACATAGTTTTTGAAAAATGCCACTACGTCAATTTTGTTAAGTTTTCTCACTTTTTGTCCTGTTTTCTATGGTGACAATCTTTGGCAGAAGCTAAGCAATGTACATCTAGAACACGTAGCTATGATCCAATCTAAATGCTGCTTATACAGCTACATTAAATATATTTGTTCAAAATATATCCAGTGAAATTACACAGCAGGAAGCCACTCTTGTCACAACAGCATTCATAAACTACTCTGTACTTCTTCAGCATAAACCCAGAGATAAAATTGGGAAAAAAGAACCATTTTCATAATATACATTTCCCTTGACTCCACTTAACAACGTATACCTTTCAAATTTGCTGTAGACACTATAAGCATAGCACCACATGCAGGCACGATAAAGAAATGTGTTCATTAAGGTTACCTATAAGGATTATTTTAGTAATGGAGGGTATAAGCCTTTTCTATCAAAACAAAGGGGTGAGACTGGCAATTAATGGAATTAATTCAATTAATGGAAGTTTATTTAAATCTCGAGACCTAATGATCTCATGAGAATGCATATTTACACCATACAATGGACAACTAATGAAGGTTTGTGTGTTATGTGGTGCTTATGAGCACTGCCCTAACCTATGAATTTATAAACGGCTTCAGTCAACAAGCTTGGCTTTTTTTCCTGCAGGGGCTGGGTGGGTTTCTGTCTTTTTGAAATGGAACTAAAAGACATAATAATGCTCTGCTTTTTCTGCAGACTTATAGAGCTGGCCAGGTTGTTGAAGCAGCTTACTTCATCACTGCTCAGCTGTTACCTAAATAATCTGGCAGTAAGGAAGCTGGAAAATGCAGGTTTAATCCTTGTACTCTGAATTCTTCATAATTTGAGAACTGATTGAGCAGCAACAAGCAGAACACATATTATTTTATTGTTAGTTTTCTATTTCACCGTCAAGTATGCTCAAAGAGGCATGCAAAGCATTCCCTCCTCCAATTTTTGCCCAAATTGCCTACAATCAATTTGAGAATAAGTGACTGAATCAAGATCACCTGTGAACTTCCATAACTGAGGATGGACTTGAAAGCTGAGTTTCATTGATCCTAGGTGAACATCTTAACCACTTGAAAGAGCAAGCAGTATGTGAACATTAATGATTGTGTGTGCTTACAAAAAGGGTTTATCAGGAAGAAAACTTTTAAATTTGGCCCCATGCACTTTTGACATACAATGAATTTAAAGGAGTGTTCTACCCTATCTGAGATGAAAAAATCTGAAATTCTTTACTAATCATTACTTTTGAGATCCATAAAAATAATTTATCCTAAAAATTTTGAACAGTTTAAAACTTATCAGAATTTTTAATTAGCTAAGACATACTATACATATTTAAAATAGTACTAGGTCTTTAAAGATGAAAACATTCTAGCTAAGCCAACTGGAAAAAAACTCTGGGCTCTGACATCATTACCCATTATCTGTGAAATCTCAGCATTAAGAATATTAAGGAATTAAGGAAATACTAAAAACATGAAAGATTAGAGATGAGTGTTAAAATCTCATGAGATTTTGATCATTTTTAAAATGGTTATTATTTACGTTTAGGTATCCACATCATAGTACAATATCATGTGACAGTATCTGATGCTGCAACATTTGCTAGGTTCAATTAATCTTAAATTTAACAATCAAGAACCTAACATTTGCTAGGTTCAATTAATCTTAAATTTAACAATCAAGAATGACTGGTGTTCTCATCCAAGCCAATTAATAAGCTAAGAAGACAGTCCCTGCTTGCTGATATGCATCTAGATCAGGGGTTCTCAACCTCCGGTCCGTGGAACGACACCGGGCCGCGCAAACAAATGAAGCCCCATCCGCTGGATGCAGGCAGCACATGAAACCACGCCCCCTCTGGTCCACGGAAAAATCTTTCTCCAAAGAATCGGTCCCTGGTGCAAAAGGTTGGGGGCCTCTGATCTAGATGCTCTGATTCATTTGGGCCAGTCACTCTCTCTTAGCCCAATTCACCTCCCAAGATAGTTGTAGGAAAAATAGGAGGAAGGAGTATTGTGTGTGTTTGCTGCCTTGAATTATTTACAAAGTAATAAAGGTGGGATTTAAAAAAATCTAATATATAAATGTGCATCCAGTGTAGCTAGATATGGCATTTGATGTGATTGGGTGATGCTTAGAGATTCGGTATCCAGGATCTCAGGATTGTTGCAAACATAAATAATATAAATGAAACACCAAACCATTTAAGCTTTTAAACAAATACAAAGGTATTAAAGGACTTTGCTTAGTAATGAAAAGTCAGACTAACCTTTCTGTGACAAAACCCTAAACGAGTTCCTCTACCATTTAATTGAGAATAGAGCTAGATATTTCACAGTTCAGGAAGACTAGTCAAAAATCACACATTACAAATGGATTCATTCAAGGCTGATTTTCATTTGTGATATATGTCACTTTAAAAAAAAACACTATAAAAGTTTGCAAACAAGCACCCAATAGATAGAAAAATGTATTGATTCACCAGAAATCAACATTGTTTAAATAAAACTTAAGATCTTGGCCTAAGTATCACTTTGGATAAACTGTATCTGAATGTACTGCTTCAAATTCTACAGCAGGTATATGCAAAACTCACTTCCTAGGACAAAATACTCCGATTTTCATAAGAACACTTATCTTCCAAAGTGTGCCAATCCACCACTCATGTATTTTCCCAGTGAGAACTCACTTCCTATTCCTGGGACAAGGAGTTTTGTATACAGCTACTCAGCAGATAACATTCATAATCTTCCTTTATGGGGGGAGAAAAATCTACCCATAGACAAAAAATTAAATTTATCAATGGAAAAAAGTCCAATCAGCTTTCTTCCAAAAATGTAGCTGTGAATTTAAAAAATAATAGAAAGCAATTAAACTTATAAACTATTATTTGTCAACTGAAGCTCCACCTTCCAAATTCAGATGAGCCAGGCATTTTTTATATAAATGTTTTCCCAGACAAAATGGGTTGTGAGAATGTAACTTACTTTCAGTTTTTTTTCCCTTTTCTCTTCTCCTCTTTGGAATCTGGCTTTGGTCTTGCTGATCGAGCAAATTGCTAGGTATTTATTAAGGAACAAAAACCTAATTGCAAGTCCTAGCAAAAGCAATTAATTAGCATAGAAAATGTCCAGATAATAGACAAGCAAACTAAAATGCTATAATATTGACAACAATGCATGAAGAGTTAATTAAAAATAATCATCAATGATTTTATGAACAAATAATATCCAAATAACATTCTGATTCTGCCAGTAATTGCAAGTAATCTTTCTTTATCTCATTGTGAAGTGATGATGAAGCTAACAAAAGTCACAAATGGTCCCAATAAGTTCAGTAATTAGGCAACTGCTCATTCAGTTAGAAAGTTTTCAGTCTGTCTCCGGATTATTTGGGAGTTATAAAAAAGGTAAGCACAGGATGGACTTTTTTCTCCCTTCATTCCTACTAGGTATAGTGGAGATAACCAAATGTCCTTTAAACTCTTCAAAGAATTATACTACTTTAACCATTGATGTAAAACTTAGCAAAATAGAAATTCATACGAGAAAAAAAAAGGTCTGCATTACAACTTACCATTCTAGGAAATCCCATTCCCAACTGTTTTGAGGCAGAGTCTTAGTTTACATTTACAATGCTAAGTCATTTATCCTGATTAGATATGGCAGTGTTCACACATTGTAGCAAGCCACAAAATTAAGACTTTAAATACAGGTGGTCCTTGACTTCTGACCATAATTGAGGCCATAATTACAGTTGCAAGTTGGGCCACTCTTTAAATGGATGGCCATATGACCATGCCTTTTTTGCAGTGGTCATTAGGCAAGCAAGGCAGTCATTAAGCGGACACAGTGGTTGTTAAGCAAGCTGATTGTCAGCAATTGGTTTTTTTTTTTTGCCCGGAAATTGGAAGTAAATGCCAGTTTCCAGCAAAAAAGAACATAAATTGCATTTATTGCATTTATGTGACTATGGGAACGCTGCAAATGGATGTAAATGTGGGCCAGTTGCCAAGCTCCCAAAATGCAATCATGTGGCTCTGGAAGTAGGGGGGGGGGAGTTCTGAGCCATCAGAACTCTTGAATCCAGGTTGTAAGAACCTTTTGGTTCATTTGTAATTTCAAATGGTCGTTAGTGGATCAACTGTAACTTCAAGTGATCGCTAAAGGACCAATTAGAAGTCAAGAACTATCTGTAGACACAATGTGTAATGCATGATGCTCACAGCTGAACCTCAAATAGGATAATGAATGATAAAGCCCAGTACGTTTATACTTCCAGGAAATAATGTTTGAATTTATCTGAGTTTTAGGGTGAGAATAAGTACAGAAACCTACTCCTGTTCAAATCGTATACGTTACTAAATGGAGGATTTGCTCAGCTAACTAAAATGAAACAACTTTTTAAATGAAGGATACAACCACCATTGGCTTATTAAATAAGAGATAGCCATTTGCTTCTTTTAACGCTTTTGCAGCTGCTTTTTCATTAGGAAGACCAATAAAAGCTTGTCCTTTCATGCGGCCTTCTTTCATTAAGCGTATATCAAACCTAGTATATGCCAAGGGAAAGCAATTTATTATTTTTTCATTTGTTCAATATCCAACAGAGTGGACCGTTCCTACAATTTAACAACTGTTTCAGATCATATACCATTCATATAACTATCTCTTCAAAAAGCCCAACGTGGCAGCTTTTTTTTTTGAGATGATATTCTATATAAAAATTGCCACTTAAATCAGCTTCTTACAAGGCTTAGAATAAAAGTAAAGGGTGATTTCTGAAGCTTCAAATTTCCCCTATTAACCTTGGCTTATTTTGAGACATAATAGTTAAAATATATCTGCCAGGTTGCTTTTTGCTAGCATCCTCAGTTTCTAGCATCGTTGTCTGCAACTAATCCCCATTAGCATTTTTAAAACTATCTATTCTATAGACTCCATGTTTTACAATCTATAAATGTATATGAAACATCATCTTCTTCAAACATTAATATATACTGTTATCTGCCATGTTTTTACTCAAGATGTCCATGTCTAAATAGCTTGCTTTTTTTGCTTGTCCATTACCATAACTTTTTTTTAGTAATATTTATTCCCCAAATTTTCCACTTTCTCTTAGTTCTATAGTCTCTTTCCCATCTATTATCTATTTTATATTCTTAAGGTATTAGAGGGGGAATAAAAAAACTCTTCTCCTGGAAATATACAGGCAGTCCTCGAGTTACGAGTGCAATGGAGACTGCTCATTCCACTCGTAACTCGGAAACTCGTGGGAGTGAATCTCGTACCTCAAACGAGATCACTCCCTTGCTCATTAAGACGCACACGGCTCGTTATGTGAATATTAGGTATCTCAGGGTGGGGAAGGCCATGGAGGGCCTAGAGATGGCCCTCAAGGCCTTCCCGACCCACTAAGATACCTCATGCTTCCCCCTCCCTTCCTGTCGCACCGGACTCACCTTGAAAAGATCCGTCTCCTGCTGCCGCCCAGATCTGAGGCCGGGGGATGCTTCCACGGCCCTCCAGTCCAATTTGGGCGCCAGATGCCTTCTACAAGCTGCTGCCACCCAGAAACATCCCCCGGCTTCAGTTCCATTCTCTGTTGCAGAGCCCTAAAGTACCATCAGATCACGTGAGATCTGTAGTGTGAGATCTCGCCCCACTTATCCCACGAGATCTTGCATTACTTTAGGCCTCCATTCTCTGCGAATGCACCGAAGGCTTGGAGCAGCCAAGAAAGCGAAGGATTGAAGTACTGAAGGCCTGGTGCCTAGGGAGGCCTGGGGCAGGGATGGAAATAACCAGGGTGAATGTTGCAGTGTCACAGCGGTTGCTCGTAAGGGCGGACGATTGCCGTGGTGCTGCAATATTTGTAATTCCGGGACTTGCTCGTAAGCACTAGGAGGCGCTTATCGCATAACTTCGAACGAGCGTTAAGTGAACATTCGTAACTTGGGAATTACCTGGTCATAGCTTGTTAAGGTGTTGGTCCAGAAATCAGGAGGCTGTGGGTACCAGGCCTCCCTTTGGCATGAAAGCCAGTTAGGTGACTTTGGCCAGTCACTCTCTTTCAGTCCAACCCATTTCACAGGGTTGTTGTTGTTGTTGTGGGGAAAACAGGAGGCAGGAGCATTAGATATATTCACTACCTTGAGTTATATATATAAAAAGGGGGATAACAAAAATTCTAATAATATTACTTGACTTATCCAGACACTTACATTATTCGTTCAGTTTCTGATGAAAAGTCAATGTATCTTCCAAAAATAAATTTCAAATCCTGGGATTGAAATAAAAACATAACAGGAAAAGTTAGTAACCATCACCAAAGAGCCAAAACATTCTGCTCCGCTTCCAGTTACCTTTTCCTGAACTTGTTTAGATAAATTCTTCACATAAATTCGGCAGTTTGGCTCTCCGGGGTCATAATTTTTGAAGACATAAAGTGTTCCCATTTCTGGAACATACCAAAACACAAAAATCAGGTTATTATTTGTAATTTGCATTTTAGGGTAACTTGCTTGACTTAATATTTAAAACTGATTATAAGACTACAGTGACAGATCAAAATTTAAAAGTTAATATCACATGGGGATATAATCAAATGCAGTATTTCCACAGTATGCTACAAAATGCTTAAAAAATTACAAAGTCACCTTTTTTTGAGATTCTGCCTTTTTCCAACTCTCTTTTAGAAACAAATTCTGAAGGAATTTCATCCTCTTCATCTTCTGTGTCCTCTTTATGATTAGAACTGGGAGCCGGGAAAAGTTTTCCAAATCCTTCATTAGCTATATCATCAGCTGACGAGCAAGAGTCTAAATTTATTTTAAAAGATGCAAAATGTTTAAATGATATTTAATCCAGTCACAAGAGTTGAATGAACAATTTAACAACATCAGCATAAAATAAACTTAAGCATCCTTAATCTCGCTGAATTAAAAAAGCTTAAAAGTATATCAGATTGATGCTATCATCAACAGAAATAGTAACTGCTAGAAATAAAAATTCATGGTAGACATGTCAGAAAATACTACCGTAATAACTAAACAAAGAATTTCAATTCAATCTGGGTCAGTTAAGAAGATGGGCTCCAGTACAAGAGTACAAAAGCTCAAAAGAGTAAACCTCTGGTCCCAGTGATCGACCCAGATTGGATCTTGCAACGTTATCTTGGGACAGGTATATCTGCCTTCATTTGTAATTTCAAGTCAGGCCATTTGTTCCAACTCCATGTAAGAATGGCTAGTCCCGATTTACTGACCACAATTGGAATTAGCAACTTTAGGCAATACAATCATAAAGTGAACAATCATGTGACCACACCCAACTTATGATAGCAACTCATCAGGTTCCAGCTGTGGCAGTTAACCAAATCTCCACCATGTCTCATGTGACCCTGAGTTGTGATCTCCTGCTGGCTTCCCCACTGACTTTGCTTGCTGGAAGCCAACTGCGAAGGTCGCAAATGGCCATTACATGAGCACGGGATATTGTAACCATCGTAAATGCATACCAGTTGCCAAACACCCGAATCACAATCACATGACTGTGGGGAGGCTACAATGGCTGCAACTTTAAGAAGTGGTCATAAATCTCCTTATTCAGTGCCAATGTAACTTCAAATGATCGCTGAATGAAAGGTCAGTAAGCGAGGACAGTCTGAATGCTTAATGCTTACATCACATTTTAGAATGCTTAAAGCAGTATCTTGCAAAACTTTAGTGATCACTATTGGTATTATTATTATTATTTTTTACTAAATACAGATGGCAGTTAAGAAATTAGCTTGCCTAAGCCCAACTAGCTGGTTCCTCAGAGAGATCACAGAGATTAGCAATTTGACCCATTCCTTACATACAAGTGCACACTATAAGAAATTTAAACTGTTAAGTTGTCTATAAGCAAATACTCATTTCATACCATCATTGTTCTCCTTTTCAAGGCTTTTCTGAAGAATAGTAGGCGTATCTGCAGAAATGTTGAATTCAATCTTCTTGATACCTATGGTTTGTGGCTGCTCAAACACATCTGAAGGTGTCAAAGCTGGGTGCAAATTACTGTTCAAAATACAACATAAAGCTCTTTTTTTTTTTGCTAAATGGTATTTCCCCACATCTCCTAACCATTTTACATTTGTTTGAGAGCACTTTGATATTTTATACAACAGCAGGCAATTAAGCAATCTATTATCTTTCAGCAGACATTCCTTTCTGAACTAACTTTGTGTGCTACAGATTATTTGGAACAATGTAATTTGAAAACATAAGCTATACAGGTAGTGCTCGATTTATAACTACAACTGAGCCCAGAATTTTGGTTATAAATCCTTAAAATATTATATTTTAGTCTACATCAAATTATAATCAGTGGCATGGGACAAATTTCGAATCACTGAAAAGGTGATAAATTTGGTGCAGACTGCTTCAGATGTACTATAAATAAAGTATCATAGTTGAGAAACCTGTCCCTTAGTTGATTATTTTTTATTAACCCAAATGTGCTGTTCAAAAGGCAACTGGATTTTCTTGCTTTTTTTTGTCTTGAAAATATTTCTAATCCAAAAAGTTTCTTCAGGCAGAACTGAAGAAGCTTTTTGGATGAGAAGTGAAACGTTTTCAAGAAAAAAAATCAAGAAAGGCCTGTTGCCTTTTCAACAGTACTTTTGGGACAAGCATAACCTGGAGGACTGAGAATCTCCATAGACATTTTTTTATTAAGGAAAAAAATATTTTTATATGGTTTTGGTCAATCTTTTGAATATTCAAGGTAGTTCAGAAATGTATGTTTTTTTAAAAAAACAATTCAAACATTACAGCAATTTTATTAACTCCTGAGGCAAAAATCAGACAGGGATTCATTATTATAATCAATTATTCTAAAACCTGTAAATAAAGCTGCTCCTTAGAAGAGATGAAATTGCCATCTCTACTTACGCCTGTAAAAAAAGCTTTTCCGGTTGAATATTTGCTTGATTCAGCTGTCAAGAAGCTGAAGGAATTCTTCCCTATCTATAGTGCTTGGAGCTAGTAAACCTGGGAAATAATCCAGGGAGAAGCAGGGGGACTACAGTTCCCCTGTGCATCTACAGGCCACACAGACAGAAATCTAACTAGGAGAGAAATCAAATCTCAACCCATCATTTTTCAGGAACAATTCCACTTAAGGCATTTCTGTTCTGACAGAAGCCAAAAGAATATGCTAAATTAACTTCCAAATGGTTTCTAATGTGAGCTACAATCTCATGTTAAACATGGAGTTTATGCACACTGTAAATTATTCCTATTTTTTAAAAAAAACATATTTAATATTTTTTAAAGTCAGCTTAAGGTGATATTTTCAATTCCCACTAAGTCAAAACCCAGGAAATTGAAAATAATGTATTTTCCTTATGATCCACATCACATATTCTGTATATTATGATGGATTTTGACTTCATGCTTCACAAATCCACAGCTTGCCTTAGAGTTTCAGACCAATTATTGGCTACAGAGTACTATAGCTAGGCAAACATTCAACAAAACGGCTTTCTTTCTCATTTGATGTGCATATCCTAGAAGAAAATATGCCATAAAAATATAAGGCATAGTATGTTCCCCATACATGAACTATAATATGGGCAGGCAACACTGGTTTAGTGTGCTGTGTGAAGATCAACAAGCAAGTAGTTTTCATTCAAAATATCTATAAGAGTAAAATCAGGTTTACAATAAATTGGAAATATTATGCATTAACTTTTGTGTCATACCTGGGTGGAGCAACTAGGGAAACATTTAATAAGTCCTTTATCTTTCTCTTTTTTCTTGCATGGCGCTGCTTTGTTGGTATCTGTCGTTTTGGCTGAAGTGTTGCTAGTTCCATCAATTTTGTAAATCTAAAAATTAAACACAACTTTTTATATCCGTACAGAAAAAGGAATTTTTCTAATGTCTTCTTAGATATTAACCTTTTGGAAAAGGAGAAGGGAGTAAGGGGCTGACTTTTATGTAAAATATTAATGTCTTTCCAAGAGATGCAATATTGTAATAGGTAACCATAGCCCAGAAACTAAAAGAGTTATGGTTTTTTATAGGTTTGCCTCTCTCATGCTGAAAGCCCAAGACAGCAGAAAATCTACAAAACAATTCTGATAAAACTTAAGTATGAAGCCTATCCTTTTCCAGTTGCAATTTCTTTTCTGAATTACATAATGATTCAGTTCGGTGCAGGGCCCCAAAAGAAACAGAAGTTATGAAGTAGTTATGAAGTCTGGATAAGGAGCCAAACCTGCCAAATTATAATAAGTCTATCAATTTCTATCTAAACAGCAGGATTGGGTTTATATTTTGCCATGCTCTAGAAGAGGTACAAAGAAAGCATAAATTATATTACAGTACTTAAGTTCATCGTAGCCGAAGGCCAACACTGAACCGTAGTTCTGAATTGCATATATTTGAAACAAGCTGATTTTACTGCTTTCGAGGATGTCTTAATGCTGTCTGGACACAGGCTGCTAACATTTCGACAGAAGAGCATACTCTCCAAATTCTACTATCTTTAGGCTCACGGAAACTAAAACTTGCACCCAAAGGACAGCACTTTGCTGCGGTCTTATCAACCTTTCTTTTTCTTCTTCATCGGCACTTTCGTATTCAGACTCATCTTTATTTGAGTCTTGGCTGTCGTCGTCTTCAGGCAATGGAGGCTCCTCAGGAGGCAAAGGAGGAATAGGAGGTGGCAAAGGGATAAACTCTTCATACTAAAGAGAGTAAAACATAGAACTTTAAATTATTTAAATCATCTCTCAAATAATCATTTAAATGCAAGAAATAATAATAATAATAATAATAATAATAATGATGATGATGATGATGATGATGATGTTGGAAGGGACCTTGGAGGTCATCTAGTCCAACCCGCTGCACAGGCAGGAAACTCTACACCATTTCGGACAAATGGCTGTCCAGTCTCTTCTTAAAAACTTCCAGTGTTGGAGCATTCACCACTTCTGGAGGCAGGTTGTTCCACTGGTTAATTGTTCTAACTGTCAGGAAGTTTCTCCTTAGTTCTAGGTTGCTTCTCTCTTTCGTTAGTTTCCATCCGTTGCTTCTTGTCCTGCCTTCAGGCACCTTGGGAAATAGCTTGACTCCCTCTTCTTTGTGGCAGCCCCTGAGATATTGGAACACTGCTATCATGTCACCCCTCGTCCTTCTCTTTGTTAAACTAGACATACCCAATTCCAGCAACCGTTCCTTATATGCTTTAGCCTCCAGTCCCCTAATCATCTTTGTTGCTCATTCTCTTTCTAGAGTCTCAACATCTTTTTTACATCGCGGTGACCAAAACTGGATGCAGTATTCCAAGTGTGGCCTTACCAAGGCATTGTAAAGTGGTATTATTACTTCACGTGATCTTGATTCTATCCCTCTGTTAATGCAGCCTAGCACTGTATTGGCTTTTTTGGCAGCTGCAGCACACTTAATTTAAGTGATTGTCCACTAGGACTCCGAGATCCCTCTCACTGTTACTACTATTGAGAGGGATCTCGGAGTCCTAGTGGACAATCATTTAAATATGAGCCAGCAGTGTTAACAGAGGGATACACATAAAAACATACACATTTAAGCATACACACTTATATCATATTACTCTATGATCTATTGAGTTATATTCCTTATCACAAACTATCACGTGCAATCATAAAACCAAAGGCCAAAGTTTCTGCATCACATTTGCAACACATCCCCAAACTGAAAGTCAACAGTTAAATCAGAGTGAAGACCAAAGAGGGATAAGCAAACCACTTTTCTGTGTATGCAACTTTAAAAAAAACCAAACTGCTGTATTTGACTGCAATGAGAAGTTAGAACGGGAAGTACAAACTGCAATTTCATATTTTTCATTTATTTTGGATTATACAGATTGACAATACATAACCTAATATTTAAAGGCTATCAAAATTGCTCCAGTTGTTTGAGAGATGTTCCACAGTGGGCCAAGTGGTTCATATATTGCTCCACCACGAGGAAGAGCAACAGAAACAAAGACTAAAAAAGTGGCAGAAAACTCAACAAGATACTGCAAATTTGAGCTAGGCTGAATCCTTTTCCATTTTAGGGTTTGAGGCAAATCTTTTACCACGACCTAATGAAATAGGTTTTCACAATACTCTCCATTTTAACAAAAAAGTTAAAACTCTCCACTATGCTCATACAGGCACTTAAATGAAAGCTAGCAGTACTCTGGTTTCTGACCTCATGGAGAAAAATGTAAATTAAAATTATACTGTATATGCACAATTGCTTTTCTTCCTGGTATTGTAAACAGTAAAGTTCCTTACCATGGGTGGCCGAGCAGTAATTGGTCCAAAAGGAGGTGGAAGATTCATTTTGTTCATAAGATGCAGAACCTGAAACGGAATAGTAGCATAATATTCAAACAGCAGTTCTTCCAAGGGTTTCATATAATTATGCCAATGATCTTTAGATGCCATAGTACTTCGAACATTCCACACTCTGTAATACGCATGACAGATTTGTACAGCTGTTTCACACTCCCCACAGCTAAGTAGAAATTTGCATTTCATGACAAAGTTCTGGAATTGGGGAAAAAGGTAGGGGAAGATTCTTCATGTGAAATTAAATTACCTCATTTAAGCATCTTTCAAAGGCAGGTTTATACAGACATATTTTAAAGCACAGTGATCTATTAATACAATACAATAATGCAATAATGTAGGAAGAAGGAAGTTAAGTTCCAGTTGTTATCATTCCCAAAAATAATGGTGCACAGTGAAGCAAAATAAAGATTTGAGCACATAAGAAAATGCGCCTAGGGTGCTTCCAAGCTTCTAAAAATAATAAAATTGCAATTTTAAAATCATCAAAATAGAAATATTAAAGAACTATAATAACAGCTGTCTAAAAGTCAGATTTTATAACAAAGATCTTGAAATACAAAATATTACTGTTCAAAGCCTACTTAGGGTGATGCCTGAAAGTTTATTATAATTTTTAAACCATTAGTTTCCGGTTAAAATGCAACTATACCAAAAAGCAATATGACTTTTAATGCTTTTGCAGATGATGTATGAAGGGGGTTGATTCCTACTGAATTCTAAACTTTTCTGTAATGCCTAACAGGGGTATTTCTTTCTGGATCCAGTCATTTCTTCTTCTGGCCTCATAATCATGCTGACGTTTTTAGGGAGTAAGGAACTGGAAGGATTGGATTCAGTTAGCCTTGGTAACCTTAGGTTCACAGGACAGAGAAGCTGGGTAATATAGCACTTTTTTCCCCTCTATATTTATTGGTGGGGGAGAGGGTGACTACTCTTTGTTTTTGAAAGGGATCATTTAAATTCAGATTCATCTTTCGTTTGAGTAAATGTGGAAAATACAAATCTATACTGAAAAAAAAAGAAATTTCTGATCAATAAATTAGTAAGCATCAACTAATAAATAGAAACAGAGATAAAAGACTGTAGATCAAAAACATCCTACGAAAGATTCCTTTAGGTCTGAAAAGGAATTCTAATATCTGTGCAGAGCCAAATGTGAAGCCTTCATTTTGGAGGATCAACGACAGCAAAGACATAGAAGGAATGCAGCAATTTCTACCTTGTTCCCAAAGAAAATAGGTGTGTCAATTCGATCAAATACTGAACGTACACATTAACCTGAGGCTTTTCCACCAATTGAATTTGTCCCTTAAAGTAATAATTCATTAATAACTAACATTTAAGCAGTTAATACCCAGAAGTAATATTTTTGCCTTAGGATTAAGCACAATCAATACTGTTGAATATTATATTCAAATAAAAGAAGCTATACATATTTACCTGTACATAGAATTTAGGAACACTTGCCAAAGCATTTGCTATGTTGGCTAAGATTGTACTAGACGGTGGGGGATACAAATATTTGAGGCACGAATTTATAGGGAACGTTAACCTGTAGGAGAAAACAATGAGGTATTTATTTATATCCCGCCTTATTATTTTTACAAATAACTCAAGATGGGAAACATATCCAACACACTTTCCTCCTTCTATTTTCTCCACAACAACCCTGTGAGGTGAGTTAGGCTGAGAGAGAATGACTGGCCTAAGGTCACCCAATTGGTTTCATGGCTAATATAGGACTTGAACTCATGGTCTCTTGCTTTCTAGTTTGGTGCCTTAGCTTGATTAAGCACATTAAGCATTCAAGGTTATACATTTATATAGACGCTTGAGAAATTCTCAAAGATCAGTCTGGCCCCATATAATCTTGGATTTATTTATGTATCTGCTTCACTGATGCTTTATCTCTCTACTGTAATTTTACCTATTTTCTATATGAGCCTGATAAACTTCACAGCCAATAGCCTACCAATATACTTAAAAATATATATATTACAAGTTGTTTTGGGGACATTGTGTTTGTCTTTATTGAATAGTAACTACTAATACCATATGAAAGCTACTTTTGAAATAAAGAGTAATTTCAGAAGCTGAAATGCTGATCCATACTGTTCAATATGTAATATTTCATTTGGTATGTTCTAGTGCTGATGCACACAAACACTGACAAGTTAAACCTCAACCCATGTAAAATGGCAATACTGAAAAAGATATTGAAAAAAAAATCAAGAATCGTCATACTCTAACACAGAGGTCCCCAACCTTTTGGGCACCAGGGACCGGTTCCATGGAGAAATGTTTTTCCGCGGACCGGAGTGTGCGTAGTTTTGTGTGCTGCCTGCATCCCACGAATGGAGCTTTGCTTGTTTGTGCAGACTGGTTGCTGGCATGCTGCAGCCGGGTACCCGTCCACGGACCGGGGGTTGGGGACCCTTGCTCTAACACATCTTTGCATAAATACATTTGGGGGCATTAGAATCAACCAAATCAACTAATGGAATCAAAAGGTGGGGGTGCAGTGATCTTTTCAAAAACAGCATGTTCTGTTTCTTTCCAGGTTATATCCAACGAAAGGGGGGGGGAAACCCCTCATCCTATGTAAATGTTATGGTAAGAGTGATTCTGGGAAATATTGCAGTTCTAAGGGTGTAAGGGCAAGGGGTTGATCTGCAAAGTTAATAACAAGTGTACTTATTTGATTTTGAACTTGTTTACATGCATGCAAGTAGTTTGAGGATACAATTAGGTAATTTTAACATATGAACCAGGCACTGACCCATGGCTAGGAGCAATTCCACTTTCAATTCTCAGATAGCTTAGGTCTTTTTGTTCCTTCTCTTCTTTGACAGGTTCTTCAAGACTAAATAATAACAAACAACAAGTACATAAAAATGCTATGAGGTAGGCTGAATTTACTCTAATATTCATTCAACAAGCAAAATTTCTAAATTGCTCATTCATGTTATTCCTGAATTTTTTTTCCTGAATCAAAGGACAAAGCTGAAAAAATACATATACAGCAATAAGTTATTTCTATGAAATTATTAGTTGATGTTGACTCACAGACATTAGTCAAATATCCAAATCACTATTTAAATTTGTTATGCTCAAATATTTAAATGTATGAATAATGCAAAATATTCCTTTAAATATAAGTGGTCTTTGAACATTTACAGTTATCATCANATTTTAACTGCATTACTAGTTATATTATCATTAGCAGTAATGCAAATATGATTTAGATAAACAGTATGGATCGTTTCATATTAATCAGATAAAGCGAGTGTGGATAAATGTTATTAGCTACCTGCAGTGTTTAGTTTTCAAGCTGTTATAAATCTACTGAATTTAAAATGTCCACATACCTTTTGTCTTTTTCAGGAGGCTGGCTAATTGCAAGACCACTGTCTTGGTCCTTTGCATATTCAACTACAAGAGTGTGGCCTAGAAGATTCAGCTGATGTAATTTTGATAAAGCCTTAAATAGAATACAAGCTAAATGAACAAATAGCAGTGGGAAAACCAGCACAAAAAATAGAGTCAAAGCAAAAGTGACAACGTTACCCTATCCTACTTTCTCATCTACAGGCTAACAATGTTTCCCAACCTTCTTGGCCATTACTGACTGGGATTAAAGTCTATGCATCTGGCAGTTGTTAAATATACAAAACACTAACTGGAAGTTCCCAGGACTATATCAAGTATCTTTACTGCTTTTAGCAGCAGTTAATTATATAAAATATTGCTACTTTATACAGTAATCCTATATGTGATTGATCTGAAGTGTCGCAGTGGATATTGTTTCAAATAAATTAAATTAGACTTATTTGTATACTATTTTGTTTTTACATTACAGGAATGACAACCTGTATCCCACAAATATCACTAACAACTTTATTTGCTTTTTATTTAACTTATAGACTGCCCATCTCACCAGAAAACAACTCTAGATGGCTTACAATCAATAAAAATATGAAATATTAAAACAATAGTAACACAAAAAATGGTTTTTCTTTCATAATCCTTTGCCCAGATTTCTTATGAATTATGGAAGTCAAAATGTAAAAAAATACATGAAACACACAAAGTTACCTGATCCTGCTATATGAACACACATAATGATATACAAGTATGAAAAGCAAATCAATGGGATAAAAATAGTTTAAAAACCCAATACACACCTGAGTAGCTGCATTTTCATTGGGAAAAGTTGCAAAAGCTGTATGTTTCTGAAAAATAAACCAGGTATAGGTTCACTTTTATACAAAGAGAAAACATATTATATGCACATGTCACAACCAAAAGGCAGGTTGTTTATTCTTTTCTGAAATAATCTCTATAATTGTGACTGAATTCATCATTCCTTCTCTGAATATATCTGTATTTGTCATCCTTTAGAACAGTGTTTCTCAACCTTGACAATTTTAAGGCATGTGGACTTCAACTCCCAGAATTCCACAGCCAGCATTGCTGGCTGTGGAATTCTGGGAGTTGAAGTCCACATGCCTTAAAATTGTCAAGGTTGAGAAACACTGCTTTAGAATCTCAATCTCGTTCTTTTGCTCTCTTAATAAAATGTGTTGCTTTTGTCTCTCGATTACTTCAAGCCAGTTGTATCTCTGGCACTTATAGGAGGCATTTATTTATCAAATTTATGTTGCAGCCCATCTTACAGGTGCGGGTCTGGGTGGAATAAGTTAAAATAAATGTATTTCCTTCAGGTAGAGGAGAAAGAACAGCCCAAATATACATCCAGTCCAGGAGTTGCCATTCTGTAATTTACATTCTCTGTTTATTGAAAACTTGACAATGCCTCCCAGCTATAAACAACCCTGCATGCACCAAGATGCCTCTTCCCTACCAGCCTGCCGTAGTCCGAAAGGATCCGCACTGACGAAGCTCCAAAGTGCCTCAGCAATTCTTCCTTCTCCGAGGCCGTCAAGACGGCGGGCAAATGTCGCACCAACAGGATCCGGTTGTTTTTTCCCGATCGCAACTGCCGACCACCCGCCTCCGAACTGGGCACCGCCATGTTTTTTCCAACCAATGGCGGACAGATTGACGTTGCGCATGCGCCTCCGTTTGCAAGCCCAGCTTGCGATCTTGCAGTTGAAATCTCGCAGGCCGAAACGCAAAACGCAGAGGACCCAGGGAATCTCGCGAGGATTGGAACACCCTATGGGGAATAGCCTCTCAGCCCAGAGAGTTACAGTCTGTTGGCAAACTAAGCAGTGAAGAACGCGGGAAAGTTTGAATATGGAGTGGAGTGAGAGAGAATGTCTAGCTGAGAGTTGCTTTTTATATAACAGCAAGATCCGCACAGGGATGCTGTTCTCTTTTGTAGCGAGCTTCCTCAAATTGAACTCGTTACTGCTCAGTTCTATTTCAGGATCCACATGAAAAATCTCTCCTACAAAAAAAAAAGTTTATGGAACATCTGGATCTTCCCAAAAACTTATGGGAAACGGTTTCAGTTCGGTTCCGTTCCAAAGGCTAATGCTGATCCAATTTGTAAGCATTGTATCTATAAGAAACAGCAGGTCTCACAAGACCCATCACCAGCCTCTTACTGATGACTCACACCTGACCCACTGATAATTCACACCCTCCAAAGACCCTGACCTGAAGGAAGCTACTCATCATAAGACCCATTACAAGCCTCTCTCTGATAACGCCTGAACCATCACAAGACCCTCACGTGACACAACCACACCTGAAGCCCTTATAAATAGAAGAGCACTGACCTAGACATCTGAATGTTACTGAAGATATTACCCAGCCTGGTAATGAAACATTCGGAAACCAAGGCACAAGCTCTGAGAACGGACCTTCATCCTCATCCAACACCAGAACTACAGGTATTTGCCACTATTGCAAACAGCAGGTCTTTCTGATTGTGAATGCCCCCAGTTGTGTCTGTGAGCCGAAAGCAGACCTGCTGTATTGTACCTTGATGATGAATGGTTTCAGATTGGGTGCAGAGATTCTGGTTGGCTGCTTTCCATTCAATCAATCGAGAAAAATCTGATCTTATGGAAACTAGTTCCAGGCAGGGCAGAAACACGTATGTTGGTTAGAGAAATCATGCCTTCCCTTTCTTACTTTCTTCAATTTACGTAGCTGTTTGTCTACTAAAAAGACTATGGGCATAAAAAAAAGAAAAAGATTAACAACAACAGGGTGGGATTAAAAATGTAAAATAATAAATAAGATGGCAGAGCAACTTCAGTAGGGAGGCACAAGAATACAGGTAATCCTTGACTTACAATAGTTCATTTAGTGACTGCTTGAAGTTACAACAGCACTGAAAAAAGTGACTTATGACCACTTATGATCAAAATCCAGAAGCTTGGCAACTGGCTCATATTTATGACAGTTGCAATGTCCCAGGGTCATGTCCCATTTTGCAACTTCTGACAAGCAAAATCAATGGGGTAACCAGATTCACTTAACAACCATGTTATTAATAACTGCAATGATTCACTTAACAAGAAAGGTCATAAAATGGACGATGTAGGCGAGAACTCCTCCGGAGCCCCGAGGATTCTCCGCGATCCAGGACGCCTTCGCTTCGGCGAAGCTAGAAGCCGCCGCCACCGCTGCAACTTGAAGTTAATTGTGAGTTTACTTGTAAGCAGACGAACCAACTTTGGAAGCTTGTTTTTTATTTTGGATTTTACTTTAACTTGTATATCAAGTTTCT